TTAAAGTACATCAACAACTACTGGTATAGGTAGTATAGTATAGCATCAAATATAGACAGAATTAAAGTACATCAACAACTACTGGTATAGGTAGTATAGTATAGCATCAACTATAGACAGTATTAAAGTACATCAACAACTACTGGTATAGGCAGTATAGTATAGCATCAACTATAGACAGTATACAAAGTAACTAGCACATGTATAAAAGCAGATATGTCATCTGGTTTTAGGGGGATAGATATGAAGATGTGATGGATTACCATTATTAGATCAACATGATCAATTGAAACAATTTACCTCAGTAAGACTAAGTATATTATCTTGATTAAAATCCTTCAGAGAAACAACTCTATGTTTGAGTTTTCCATGTTGATCTTGTTTGGTAATGCTTGTATCTAAACCTTCCCCCTCTGCCAGCTTCATGATATTTTCACACTCAGCACTGCTTAGAAAATTCTCAATTTCTGAAAATAAATGAAAATAAATTACCTCATGCAGGCTCAGTTGTTCATCATGATTAAAATCTTTCATCACTACCTTACGCCTTCCTTGTTGTTTTGTCTGACTACTCTCCAATCCCTCCATCAAAGCAAGGTTTTTAATGTGCTCACATTCTTCATCAGAAAGAAAATTATCAATTTCTGAAATTTAGAAAGAAAATCAAGGTGAGGCAGATGAAAAATGAACAGCGAGAGAAAATATTATGTCTATGGAGTTGATGAAATGAATGTAGCCAGGTTGCAATTAACACAGAAGATGAAGTTCACTATCTGGAACAGTGGTACAATGTCGATAACTGGAAATATCATAATAAAAAAAAGCCATGCTTGGCACAGTCCCGTTAGTTATAAAATTTAGATATATAGTTTTGTTAATAGTAATATAGTTGGAACATAAACATGTCAGATATATGGATCCAGAAGCTATGCTTGATTATGATTTTTTAACATTTTACTGTCATTTGGCGGACATCCTTGTATCTGAACGTCAAATGAGTACTTAGCCATATAGAGACATATTGCAGTGGAACATCATTAAATAAAACAAAATGGCCACCAGTCAGCCATTTTGAATTGGATAGTCAAACATCTGTAATATCTATGACATATGATGTATAATGAATATGTAAAATTTGAACATAATCAGTCAAAGCATATCAGAACTGCATTCATACAGAATGGCCACCAGTCAGCCATTTATAATCCGATCTGAAAAACAAAATGAAGTGTATGGGAGATCCATAATGTCTAATGTACATGTGTATGTACCAAGTTTGAATGAAACCCATTCATAAAAGACCAAGATCCGGTTCTTGAATGCCAGAAATTCTTGATTTTTTTATGATTTCTAGATCTTTGTCGGCCATTTTGAATTCCAACTGCAAAACAAAATGACATGCATCAAGGTCTCATAATATCCAATGTATGTACCAAGTTTCAACAAAATACATCTGTAAACACCTAAAATCTGGTTCTGGAGTGCCAGAAATGCTTGATTTCAATAACATTTCAGCACAAAAACGGCCACCATTCGGCCATTTTGATTCAGATTGTAAAACAAATTGATGTGCATATTTATAAGATTATGTATTATGAGGTTTGAATAAGTTTGAGTGTAATCAGTCCAGGCATGTCTAAGATACAGGTCCGGATGCATGCACACATACAAGGATGCACAGAACCATGGATGCACACACAGAGGTCAATCCTTAAGTCCCAGTTTCAGGACTGCATCCAAACAGGAACAAATAATAATAATCTTTATTGAAACCACATCCCAGCGTGGGATCTTGGTTGGAAATACAATAAAGTAACAAAAAACAAGCAAAGTGTACAACAAGATAATCACAAACAGTTGAATGTAAAAAAAAAATTATGTGCTGGCTGGTTGAAGCATCCGGCATATTAAGATTTTTCTTGTCATAATTTGAAGCAAGTATGGATCAGTTTTTCTAGATCAATAATTGGTTTTTCATTTATACTTTTTAGTATATCTGTTAGGTGTTTACATCCATCCTAAAGTTGCTTTTATTATATCTACCCCTTTCGACTTGAAGGCTATGAGCACTTATTCTGAGTTTTGTCATATCAGCTCTATGATTTGGATTTGTGATTGTATAGTGAGATATTTTTCATATGCAAATTCTGTTATAATTTTCTTGTAGTTTTTTGCTTCTGTCTGAATGCCAATGTCAATGAACGACTCAAAGTTGACTGATATATGGACCATTGAACATTTTATTCAATATCAATATAATAACAACTGGTGTAACTATGTGGTTGGGTTCGGTTGGCCACATTCCAACTTGAGTAGGATTTCAGCGGAACTTGAACTCAAACTCTCACAAATCAATTGACAACATGAACTGCATTTATTTGCGAACGAAACTCTTCAACGAACTGATAAATACATAAACTTGTAGAACTGACCCACAGTTGAGCACGGACCAACAAACTGGAACACAACTACCGTTCAACTTTAAAAGTGAAATAGAACATTACGGCGTTTTCCACGCAGACGAAGATTAACCAATCAGTGACTGCGTTCTGAATCAATAATGGAATGTCAGCAACACCTATGGCTTATTATGGTTTCAACGATAAACTATAATTACAACCTTGTCAATTGAGAATCTTGATAACAAATGGATGGAAGAATAAAAATTACATAAAAAACAAGTAAAAATGCTTAAATTTAGTTAATTTAGGTCATTAATATGCACAGAATTCCAACCAAAAATAATCAGGTGCATTGTCCTAATGTATATACCAAGATTCATTGTAATCTGTTTCATAGCACATGAGAAACAAGTTAAAATTGTTAAATTTGGTTAATCACAGAAGTCAAAAACTGCTCAAGTTATTGTAACCTCAAGAAGATGAACAACGAGGAAAGATGATTTTCCCTCATATACCTATGATGACATAGTCAAGGTACAACTATACTATTGCAAAGAGAATGTAAAAGGAGAAAAAAAGTTGTAAGTGGTGGTGAATGGACAATATGATTCTGAAATACATGTAGCATGCATTAATTGTTATGAATTCAATACATATACATGTATACAAGTCCATTTATTTTTGCAAAAATGTTCACAGGCTATATTCACAAAACTTGAATTAATGGTATTCTTTATTCTTTAGTTGGCTTTCATCTGACAAGTCCATATGTTCACTCCAAGTTTCTGAAGAACATGACAGAAACTATATGGTATTATACTATTTTTTTAAAAACACATAAATCTGATGAATCTGGTACATGTAATGAACAGTCCTAGAGAAATTATGAAACACTGGTTTTTTTTTCTGTAGTACAATGTATCCTGGAATGTTGACCCAGTGGAAATAAGTTAATACATTTAATAATGCAGTAATATTGACCAAAAATTCAGTATGCAATTAATTCCATAATTTGCTGTACATTTATGAAATCTTACAGCAATTCCAGGCACTGATTTGACGCTGAAGTAGTGCTAGATGTTGATAACTTACTACAGTAGGTTACACACTTTGTTTTCAAATTTACAGAAGTTGTAACTAGAAATATAAACATTGACTGCAAATCAGAGGAATGATTGACAGATATTGCCCACAATGTTTTCTATTTTTGTTACAAAGTCAGGTACACCTAGACTTTGAGGCGCGTTTGTCTTTCATTCACTTTTGGTCAGTCATCGTGTAGTTTGCGTCTACAAATCGGCATTCGTCCAAGTTGTTTAAACACCACGACGGAGAAGCAAGGAGTCAAAAAACAGTTGAAGTGAAAACAAGAGTTGTCGATTTGTATTTTCGTGGACTGTCATTTGCTGAGATTAGAGATCGAAATGGTGTTTCAAAGCAGACAGCTTATAATATCGTCAAACGGTTTGTTACCACCGAGAGTATCCTGCCAGGAAACTGACAACGTTATAGACTATGTCGAATATTATAAAACATTGCGACCGCGCATTTACGGACGTGAAATTCAACAAAAACTACTTATGTACGGCGGCAACCCACCCCGACGTGTGATCGTGTGTTGCCAGTGATAAGCCTTTTAAAGCGATTATTTGGTGGCACATCAACCTTTTGGTTCTCATCGTCGAGAACTAATAATTGAATAACACCCATTCTACTTATGTATTCAATTTCATTATTGATATACTGGATGAAGTCTTCATAGGACATTTGTTGCAGGCAGTTTTCAGTTATATACATCGACGTGATACGAATATTTCCATAGTAGGAATAATTAATGAATGCACTTTGATCAATAATTCTGTCATGATCAGTCGGTCAGCTGGTTCTGTAAAATAACGTTCTTTACAGTGCCACCACTGTATGTGCCCTCTCACTGAAATAACATGTGATGCAAATTGAAGTACAAAACTAAGTTGAGAGCCTTGATCATTTATTGGAGGAGAAAATCAATACTAATGTACTGCCACTTTTATGGGCAGAGCTTTCTTCCGGTGCGCTTCAAATTGCAGATATGCTGTCTGCATTATTTGTAACAACTTATGTAAATGTGAAAACAAAGTGTGTAACCTATTGTAGTAAGTTATCAACATCTAGCACTACTTCAGCGTCAAATCAGTGCCTGGAATTGCTGTAATGATTGAACTGAACACTCACCAAAAATCAATGGTTTCATATTGACTGTTTTCAAATAATGTTCTTCACCGCACACAAGTTCGATCTTTTGTTTTCTTCCAAGCTTACAAATAAAATATAGAAAGTTTTTATAGATTACAGATGTATGAGTAAATTTTTATCGTCTCCCCTCCAGACTTAAACTTTTATTTCACAAGACCACAAAAAAGTTGTGCATGCAATCTGAAATTTCCATACGACTTTTTCAATGCATATAAGTATAACTTAACATATAGTTAGCTTTCTTTCAAAACTACAAAATACCTAAATTGTGCAAAATAATCTGCTTAAATAATTGTCTTATGTGGTAATATAGGTTAATATTACAAAGAACAATTGTAAATTATTGATGGCAATGGGATTGGCTTCATCTTACTTGAAAAAGCAAAGCCATCTGAAAGCAAACTTGGAGGTTGAGTTATGTTTGGAGTGTACTGTACAATATTGCCAGTGTTTTATCTATGGTAATAATTCAAGATTATATTTCACAAACTCATTAATTTATCATATAATCCATGTAAGGTAAAATGCTATCCAAAAATTAAAATAATGTCATTTCTATTATTTTTACATGTGTGACAATAATGTTACAAAGGTGAGAAAAAGAAATAAAAAATGCTGTCATAGTACTCAACATGGAAGAAGTTATGAACATGTGCAAATATAAAAAGCGCATGAGCAGCATTTTATCTTAAAGCGAACGGGTTGTCACCTACGCACATACACAACACTGCCTTGACTGGTCTGAATGTTTTATTTTGAAAGATATGAATAGAATAGAATAATGCTTTATTAATACCGTAAATAAAGAGTTAACATTTCTTTTTAGGTTTTCAGATTAATAAAGTAAATAATAAAAGTACATGAAATGTAAAAATTGATTTAAAAAAAGAACTCAAAATTGATGAATGACAAAAATACTACAGACTATTATTTAATAATATAAGAAATATTAAAAACTGTGATATGTAAGTATATCTGTATGTAGCACAGAATATGTAAAAAATATAAAAGAACATGACAAAATAAAAAAATTAGTCTTGTTTGTATTTAACTAAATATTTGCAGAGAGTGAAAAGATGGTTTGTATTTGGTGACATTAGTACAAGTTTAAATTGTTCTTTTTTGTTTATGTTTTGGTAATCACTGTTAATTTCTTTCAGAATATTATATATGTCATCTCTGTGTTCTGTGTACAGTTTACATTCTAGTAAATGATGTAATTCATCCTCTATTTCTTTACAGTGGGTGCATATAATCTGTCTTTTATCAGTGTTTTTGATTTTTTGTACCTTCCTGCTGTGACTACTTGTTCTAAATTGTGCTAGTATTTTGATGTAATGTCTGTTATCTATGTGTTTTATGTAATGTTCCATGTCTAGTGTGGTTTTGTATGTACTGTAGGTGCGCAATGTGATTGCACCATGATAATATAATTGAAACATAGTTAAACTCTGGTGACCTTGCCCTTTGTAATATAATATAATATTATCATAGTTTGTTTCAATATAAATATGCATTGTCATAATTAATTTTGAATTAGGCAGAGGGTTTTCAACCAGCCTATTCACATAGTTCATACCCACCATAGAATCCGGTCAGTCAAAATGACTATTTTGAACTGTAGGCATTAATCTGTGATTCAGCCAATGATGAAGAGAGAAATCTAGGTCAGGGGAAGCCCCATGACCTCATAGATTTTCTTCCACGTCACGCAACATGTGACCGAGGCAAAGAGGCCCGCGTCATCTTGCCCCATCTTTACTCTTCTGTTTCTCCGCACCAAGTGTGCATCACACAGCAAAACAGGGTAATTCAGTCTACAGTTTTTTTTCGACTGAGTTTTTCGTTGGTAACAGTAAGACGTAGTATCTGGTAGGATAACATTTTTCTTTATTAGGGGCCCTGTGTTCTGTGTACTGCTGACAAAAAAACTTGGGTGAAGCATTTGACCCGTGCTGGGCTTCAATGCATCAGTTTTTTAACTATAATTTTGTTCCACTCATGCGTGCCTTGTTCATTTTCTTAATGTTGTTTAAAATGGACGGGAAGATAGAAAGCAGTCCAAGAAGAATTCCTCACCTCCTAGGTTGTCACCCCAAAATCGACTCGGTCGTGCAGGTATTGCCATCAGGATCTCCCGGGCTGGAACCCCATATAGCAAATGTCACTTCTTACGGGCAAGGTGAAAAATGCCACTTACATGTAGACCTATCAATATTGCTTTTAATAATTAATGACAAACATGGTGCACTTCCCATGGTTATCAAAATTTATGTGCAAAAAATGCTATTTTTAGAAACTTGTACAAGCAAACATATTTATAAAATGTAATTTTATTCAAATTTCTAAATTCACTATTTTGAAACACTTCAGAACATTTCTCAGACTTAATATCACTTTCATGCGTGAATATTTTTCATGTAATTTTCATTGATAAATAAATGTACATGTACAAGCATTTATTTGTTGCTGTATATAGTCATCTAATAGGTTAGTCATGTCCTCTTTACAGACACTTTCAATATATAGTGCTGGCTGCATATCTCTATCTGCAACATTGCATGATACAGAGCTTGAGCTTAGGAGTTGAGACCTGACACATAAATGTATCTATGAACACACCAACAAATGTGCTAATTATTATGCAAGTTAGGTAATTACCAAGCACAGATTTAATCTAAAACTAATAAGCCATTTTTCGCAAGCTGCGAGACCACGCGTGACCACAGTTTATGCACCTTAGCAACCAATTGATTTACGTGATACAGGTCAATCTTTCAGTTCAACATGTTAGCAACCACATTGTCCAACGTGTTGTAAATGCGAGTCAAACGGTGCTCATACGGCTCATGTAAGAGTGATTCTCGCTTTCAGTACAAAAATGATATGCGATTCCCTTAACCAAAAACGCAGTCTGAAAAGTGTGATCGATGGATCAGTGCCTGTTTTCAGGCAGACAATTTTGGTCAACACAGAAACACCCAGGATACGTACGCTTGTTCCCTTCACTTTGTGGGAGGAAAGAGTCCCATCCAGACCCAATACCAGTGACTGTGAGAGGTGTCGAACGCCATGCATATATTCAAGTCGAGGACATCACCGAGCGACAATCAAAAAAAGCACCGGACATTGAAACATGTTGATACGGTTTAACTTTCTCTTGCAAGTTGTACTGATCGGAAATTTATCGTGCTTGTTTTTGTGTATTTTATTGCGATCCCGAATAAAATGTGGTTTAGCATGAGATTGACCGGTTTAAAACTCACAAGTGTACATCTTAAATTGTCTTATCATTAGTATCCCGATAAAAACCAGATTCCTGACATTACTGTTACCTCGAAATTTGAAAAGGATTTAAATGCGAATAGCTATGCATTTAATGATACTAGTAACAATATTGCCACAGAGTTAGGGAATCCCTCCTAAATCCACAAAGAGCCTGAATGTTGGCAAGTGAAGTAATTCTTTTACTAAGTGTAATTGTAATATTTAATACTTGAAATGTACAATTTAATATTCATACTACCGGGTTTTGTAAATAGTTTTATTTAACTTCCCTTGTATGTCAAAAAATTATGAATTTTCAAGCTATGTATTTTTAAAGCATGTGTGTTGTGCACAATAAGCAATATTGACAGTTTCCTGTTATTTGTGTGGATGCTTGCGCATACATGTATGTCACAATTAAACAAGCCATGCATGGCACAGCTAGTCCCCGTTAGTTATCAAATTTAAGATATATAGTTTTGTTTATATTAATATA